TAACCAAAAAGTACTGCATCTCTTCAGTTCTCATCTTTGCTTACCAATATATACATACCTAGAATGTTTGAGACAAAAGATCCCAAGCTAAATTTGTACAAAACCATAATTTTTGTTAAACAAAAATATGTAAATTCACCATTTTGTTTATTGAAGTTTTATGTCCTGTATTGGCAAGCAGCATGGTCTAGTTGATAAGACATGGCTGTGTCAAGTCCTGGCTCAGCCACTGATTTTCTGTGTGACCTTGACCAGGTCACTTAAATGCTTCCTGCTTCACTTTGGACTAAGTTTAGTTCAGAAAACAGAAGATGTATGTAGCAAGGTCAAAAATTCTCTATGTGGAAGTCTGGTTAACCTCTTGAAAGCTCTGGGTTCTGATCTTAACCTTTAGAGATCACTCTGTCTACAAACTCAACTTCAATAAGCCTCCATTTAGGGCTTGATCATTAAAGATTGAGCACATTAGTTCCATATAGCAAAGCACTTAAGCATGTCCTCAGCTTTAGGATGACCGTATTTCCCTGTGCTGAATACTGGACACCTGGTAAAATTATTCATATTCAAGTGAGCTCAATGGCAAGCAATCAAAACTATATAGTGCAAACATTCAAACTAACATCAAGTTGACTGAGTCCCTGTTAAAAGGAAATTTTTCATAGTTGGATTCTTTTTACTTATCCTTAAGGCTTTAGCGTTCTCACAAGGAGGGGTGAGACATACTCCCTCACCTCCCCTACCACATATGGAAAGATATGACACACACTTTCCCACATGAGTGCTGACTGACTGACCCAGCATTCTCTACCTTCCATGCCTGGATGGACCCCTGGGATGCACCCACCTCTCCCAGTACCTGGTGATGTGTTTTCCTAAGGCAAACATTGGGGGGGGGGGTGAACCCTACAACGTGGCCAGCAATTGCCTTTCAGCACCATACAGAAGAGAAGGGACAGGAGCTATTTCCAGCAGCAGGGGAGGGGAGAAAGCCTGTGTCTTTGCAGAACTCACCTCTTCTCTCTCCTCTCTGGCTAGAAGCTGCCTGTCACTTTCTGCCCACAGTGCTGAAAGGCAGCTAATACCTCCAGACTATGCTGGCTACCGACACAACCCAGCTGCCTCCTGTCCCCCAGCTACAGGACGGGCAGGAAGGAGTTAAGCCCTAAGGATGCACCAGAGCTCAGGGAACCTGACTGCAGAGGCTTCAACAAACCAAGCCAGAGAGGTGGTTCAGGAGGGGAGGGTGCCTAGGGAATGAAATAGCTACAAGGGCGGGAGCAAAAATGGCACTAAGTTCCTGACATGGGGGCTGCTGTGCAGCCTGCAGAATTAGGGTGTGAACAGGCTGGACATTGCTTTCCCCCTTGCCACTGCAGAGCTTAGCTGATGGGTGGAGAGGCTTCCCCATGCTGGCACTATGTGGGGCTTTGACACATGCAAGGCTCAGCTTCTCCTAGCAAGTGCACCAGCCACAGGATCTTGGGCTTTTCCCAGGTGCTGACCCAACCAGAGGCAGTGGGGGAAGGAAAGAGCCTGCCAGCCAGGCAGTTGGTGAGCTGAGTGCTCTGACCAGGGGCTGGCTCTTTACATCAGTGTTTCTTAAACTGTTCCGTGGCACGCAGGTGCGCCGTGAGGTAGTCAGAGGTGTGCCACGGAGAACAACAGAATTCAAAATGGTCACCTTCAAAGGAGCAGGCAACTTTTTTTTTTTTGCTCAATAACTTCCCTCTGACCCTTTTTTTCCCCTCGATAACTTTCTCCCCCAGCCTTCTCTCCCCTCCCCGACATTGTTGTTAGTTTTTTTTTCCTGAACAAAAAAATCCTTGGTGTTTCTCATTAAAAAATATATTATTTGGTGTTCCTTGATCTTAAAAGGTTTAAGAAACACTGCTCTACATAGTGGTGGGAGAAGGACATGCTCCACTAGGGGGTATGGCGGAGTAGTGGGGCTGGGAGGACAGATGGGCAAAGCAGGGAGAGGAGAGCGAGAGGGGGAGCATGTATAGGGTTGATGGGTGGGCAGCAGAGGCGACATGTCACTGCAGCATACAGTCATAGTGGAGGCTGTGCTGACAGACCATCCGGGGGAGCAGCTGGCATCTGCCTCTTCACCTCACCAGCAGCCTTCCACTCCCATCCCCATCGTTAGACACTAGATACTCCCCCCTTCTCACTTCTGGTTGGTGGGCGGCTAGCAAGCAGTGATCCAGTACTGATGGGAGGGGGGCATAAAATACAGGACAATTTGCCCATTTTTAAGTTAAGGTCAGAATGCCCACAGGAAGGCTTAAATACAGGACATCTGGTCACCCTACTCAGCTTTCAGCATGTGATCCTTCTAACGTTTAAGTACTGTACTTTGCTGGATAAGGCCAGAGTGCTAATCACCTAACAGGAGCAAATCCTTAGAATTTCCTGTACTGTCTGCTAACATGCTACTAATCTTTGATACTGTTCCACTGGGAACTTGGGTATGCTTGATTTTAAAAGACTCTAATGGACTATGGGGACTTGCTCTATTGAAATCTCAAGCACCAGTATTTTATACAGCTGTCCATCACCATAGTATCCAAGTGCCTCCCATGTAAAGTCAATAGGAATTGCTAAGTCTCTAATGAGATTATCAGAGTTTCTGGCATGTCTCACTTTTGAGGGTAAAACTGTGCTTGGGTATGGTCTTTTAATTTTTTAAAATTAAGTTGATTTTTTGGTTGGTTTTCTTTTTTTGGGGGGGAAGGGGGAAAGGGAGGGAGTATATAATGGGATGCCAACATCATGAGTGTCAATTTTTTCATTGAAAGGTCTTCACTAGATTTGAAGCTTCTAAGCATATCCTAAAATGGAATTCAGGTAGTTTCAGATGACAACTGGCATAATGGAAATTTCCAAGGTAGAAAGGCTTTTGGGATGAAGGATATGGTACTCCCAGATGCTCTTAAAGGTTAGACTTTCAAATTTAAGTGTGTGCATATTTGCACATGTAATTTATGTACCCTAATGCCTATAAGATACAAGTGTAAATACTAGGTTTTTGTGCACACACATCAGTTAGTCTAAGTGATCATGTCTGGTCTCGTTTGACAGTACATACTAAGTATTCCTTATTTACTTATACTGGGTTCCTGGAGACTTGTATTCATGTATGGACGATAGCAGTGTGCAAATATAGGCACACAATTTCATATGCTTAATTTAGAATGTGGATCCAACGTATCTTGCTTGAAAATTGGAGCCTGTTTTCTTAAATTCTTTATTTGCCATACACCTGTCCTTAGGTTTATTTCTTTTGCCAGTACTTTAATTAGTGGCTTTTGATAACAAGCACTTACACTACACAAATATTACCCAATTTATTCTCCCAGCATGCCTGTGAGATAAGTAAGGCATATTCTTCTAGTCTAGAAATGAGGAAACGAGGGCAGAGAATTTAAATGGCTGAGTTTGAGAGGTGGTGCCGTATTCAAGTCTATAGTTCAAGAGGGTCAGCATTAGATCTCAGGAGTTTCTGGACTGCAGTCCAGTGCTTGACCTACTAAGACCATATTTCTTGAAAGGAAGAAATTAAAACAGATTTTCAGATGCTTTCTGCCAAGCCATGGAGAAAATATTCCAAAAATAACCCTCTTGAGACCTTTCTATTCTGATCAGCTCTGAAAGTTAACACACAGAATGTCCCATATTTTCCCAGATTTGTCATTTTTCTTTTAAAATGTAAAGTCATTCTTCCCTTTCAGAGTATCTTGTTACCTAGTCATGTCAATATGCATGAGGTTTAGTTAAAAGAATTTGTGCACAAAAAAATAGGATTAGCAACTTTGTGAAAAGCATTAAATGTTAGGAGCAAGGCACAATACATTATGTAGCTACAAAAGATGGGGAGTATATAGTACAGTACTGTAAATACTTGGAGAATCAGCCTGAATGGAAGGCATCAATACTTTCTTTTTAATTACTTAGTATTCTCTGCCAGCTCTCCTATGACAAACTAGTAATCTAGATAGAAGATGAGAGCGACTCAGAAGCAGAAAACATTTGATCAGTGTGTGAGAGAAGAAACCTTTCTTAAGATCCTTTTCCCTCCAACAGCTCCAGCAGACATAGCTGAGCCTCCAAACACATAAAATAGATCAGACTCCTTAGCTCTTTCAAAATACCTAATGATATGCAGAATTCAAAGCCTGAAGTGACATATAGTTGGTATTCCACATGTCAATTATCTCTGCCTATTAAAAGCAGCAGAGTTATGATGTTAAGGTCTGAAACACTTCCTCCCATCCCTGTTAAATATATCACCTTACTATCACTAGTATTGTGATAAGACTCTCTTGTAAGTTATATCTAAAAGGAAAAATTGCATTTTTATAGTGAATTCAAAATAGCAGATGATCAAAAGTGGTGATTTAATATGGCCGATGAACATTGTAAACATAAAAATACATAAAACACCAGAAACACTGCAATACGAGCTTGCCACAGCACTTTCAAAGCCACGGGGCATATGCTGGAGATAGTTTGGATGTCTATGAGAGACTCAGACTGGGTCACCTTACTGTAGTACAGGACTGAGGAACCCTTTTTGGTCAAGGGCCACCGATCCACAAAAATCAGTCAGGGGCTGCACACAAGTGAGGACACCCCCCCCCCCAAATAACCGCCTAACTGACGTGGCCCCTGACTGAGGAGAAAGACACTCTCCACATTCTCCTCACACATCAGAGCCTAGGGAAGCCCACCCTAGTAGGCCAGCAGTAGGGAAGTAGGGGGGCTGGAATGCCAGCACTGGCTCCCCAACCTGGGGGTATGTGTGCGCCTAGGATTGCCAGATGGTTTCAACGAAAATACCGGACACTCTTGACATTACATCACAATCGACATTACATCTTATATAGAAAATACCAGGCATTTATATTTTCTCATTTATATTTTCTCAATTTGTTTCCTGAAGAGAAAGCTCAAATGCTGGACTGTCTGGTTCAAAACCGGACACCTGGAAACCCTAGTGCTGAGCCTCGGGGGTCAGATCCCCGGGCCTGAGGTGCCCCACCCCTGCTCTAGTGCTTAAGCAAACAAAAACTTTAAAAATGCTGTTCAAGACTTAATACAGAATTTACTTCTTTTTGCAGGAGCACTTTTTACACCATTTTAAAGAAAGGCAACATAGCAATGCATTTTTAGTAAAGTTCTAACCAATAAAGAGTAAATGGCAATGGTCAATAGCTGAAAGTTGGAGGAAAGATTAAAACTCACTAAGTGCTTTGCAGCAAATGACAAATGTTAAAGCTAGTATTATTGCATATGACTAAAAACTTGTTAAGATGATATGGGTATTTTGGGGGAAGAGCATGTTCATATGGATTCTGGAAATGATGTGTGCGTAAGTGCACCTGTGTATTTACACAGTGTCTCTAAGGTCTTTCAAAAATGCCTGCTCCAGTCTCATTATCCTTGTGGCCAGAAAGGACTAAACAGAATGGCAGGGAATGCCTGAGGAGTGGAATTGCTGCTGTAATGCCGATGCACATGCAGAAGGTCAGGAGATCAAGGGGCAATTTGCCACGAATTTGCCACGGTGTTGCCATATTCTGAATTGTACATAACATACAAAACTCAAGTCTCTTTTAGTCAACTGTGCATCCAATTCTGGGACTGCTTCTGTTTAGAAACACTCTCTGGCTGGCCCCTGTCAGTGTGACAACCTGCTCCATACTGCTTAGGATCAGGGGTTCACAAGCAGGAAAGAGGGACAGAATAATCAAAGCACCAATGGCTTGTGTAATTTTATTTGCCAAAGAATTATAGTTTGCATCAAATTTATCTATCCCTTGGTGTTTCACTCCCTTCACAGGATGGGATGCAGATCTTGCTGTTGACTCCACTGGAGGGCCACCAGTTGGGAACCAGAGACTGTTTTGAGAACTGAGCACCGCAGAAGTAGAATAACATTCTGCCTGACCCTAGTATATATAGAAGAGTTCTAATGTCACCAACACAGGTTTCAGAATTTGTGCCTGCTGCATCATTCCTGGGATTAAGACACATTTTCCTGGGGAAAATAATGTGTGTCTTCCAACTTTGTCACAAGACACGCACAGTTGGATTCTAATCCTCACTGGTACTGTGTCTCTGAAACAGTGTTCAGCCAGTATCAATGCCAGGACTACTCTTGCTGTTATTGTTGAGATTGGTTTTTATAACACTTCTAGCTAGCGAGAATAAGTATGTAAGGCAACTAAGGATGCACAACATGGCTTACTTTCTGTTCCCTAGGGTTGTATGGACCTTTTTACATATCTATATGTGCAAGGAGTTTTTTATTTTAGTTTTTAAAATCATCAGTGCTTACCAACTAGTCAGAAACCACTGCAGGCAGTGTCTGCAATTGATATAAACCTAGCTAAGTTCCTGCAGCCTTTTCACTGCATGTGTTAATGATAAATTGTGCAGAATGTTGCTTTTGCTTGAGAACTGGATTTATTATTTTGGATTCCACAGCCATATAATTCTTTTCAAGTGAATTCAAATAATGCAGTGAAAGTGACACCCAAAAGTGAAAGAAGTGGGACAAGAAAGATCCCGATCCCTACTCCTTTCCGGACCTAAAATTAACCTTTCATTCATATGTTTTTCAATGTGAGCATCTGTAAAATCTTCTGTCTTCCCATAATCCAAGTCAGGAATTTTGGTTTAAACAAAGGCTTCACTGTGAAATTGATGGATTCTCTGCCTTTATGCAAGAGTCCCAGTAAGAGTCTACATCCGTGGTGTACAACACGCTAGCCACTAGCCACATGTGGCTATTTGGCCAGTTGAGTCTGGCTAGTTCGCTATAGCAGCAGTCACTTATAGTGGCTACTGCTTCAGAACTGGTTGGACTCCACAGGTCTACACACTTAGAGCTCTGTGTGGATATAAAAATGTATATCCACAGCTGATCCATGAATGTATAGGTCTTTATACAAACTGAGAAATAGAAGATTCTCTGTGCATCTGCCATTGTTTCATGTACAATACAGAATTCCCAATAGAACTATGTAGAATTTTGGCTCAATATAAAGTTCTCAATGGATTCTCAGGTTAATGGGGAAGAGCTTCCTGCTTGGAGTCCTCTCAAAATACCTGAAAAAGATGCATCTTATTGAACTAAAAATCCCAAAAGAAGAAACATGATTTGCTCTCACTGGATTAACTTCCCAAATTTAGTGGTGACAAGAGTCAATAGCTGTCCATGATTTCTTTTCAGTATGTGGGCTCCAAGTGAATTTTATTGGTATATACATACTCTCATCTGTTTATGAAAAAAGGACACTTGGTGTCCATTGATACGTCCTCTAGTAGACATGCAGTCAGGAAGCTCAAGGGCTGAGGAAGGTTTGCATTTGTTTCTTAATTTATTGCAAAACTACATTCAATTGGACTAGGTCCCCAGGAGCTCTGAAGTAAACGGTAAGACTGGAAATAGTAGATATATAATCATGCAGAGAGCTAAAATTTAAAAAAAAAAAAACAATCAACACTCAAGTCAATTCTCCAGCTGCAGACAAGAATTATTTTCAATGCTCTGTTGCTGACAACTCATTATTCAGATAGACTATGTATGAGAATAAGCTCATCTCTGGACATTATAAAGCTTTTACATTAGCTCAGACTTTCTAAGCCAATTGTTTCTTACAAAAGGTATTTCATGAATCCTTTTGTCTTTTTAATGAGAACTTCAGTATTTCTGGCCTTGGAACTGATACAATATACAGATATATTAAACAATTTAAAACAATTTAATACCGTACACCGCAATAATGATTGTAAAGCTTGGTTGAAGCGGTGGAGTCAGAGTGTGGAATATTTCCCAGGCAATGTCTTGCTACTGAGGGCTTGTCTTCACTAAGTGGTGAATCAACACTGCAGCCATCAATCTACCAGGGGTCAATTTATTGTGGATCTACTTAGAAGCGACAAATAGATCTCCAAGAGCTCTCCCGTCAACTCCCATTGTAAATAGTTCTGTGGGTTGGCCCTTTCGCAGTACTGTTTAAGACTGGAAAAATCAGTGTGTCAGCTTCGGACCAGTCCATATTCCATCACAGACATTTACATGGCCATATGAAGCAGGTTCAGGCTTGTTTCCGGACCAGATGCCCACTGCATCTAAATCAGTGTAGTTCCATTGGAGTCACTTGGCTGGATTCCTAGCTGATGTAAATTGGCATAATTCCACTGAAGTCCAGGGGTCGGATTCCCATCCCAACTGGTGTGAATGATCAGAAGTTCACTGAAATCATTATAGCGACACTGCCTTATACCAGCTGGGACTCTGAGCCTATAGTTCTGTAAAGAACGCGGTCCTGATTTCTCACTCAGGGAAGGGTGCTTTACCACTATGTTGTTGTTCCCCCGTCATGGGCCAGATATTGACATGTATGACCGCATTCTTCAGACAGCCTCACACAATGTGTTCACAAGGCTTTATAGCCATACTTAGTGCCTAGACAGCCTCTGTCCCCAAAAACCCTTGAGTCAAGTCTGGATGGTATTAGAACCAGCTGGAAAGATTTAACTGATAGGTTTTCACTGGAAAATGCCATTGTCACAAAACTGGATGGCTACGTCTAGCCACAAAACTGGATGGCTACCTGAAAGTAGGAATAAGATCCTCCGGAAAAGGGCACTTTTTCCGGAGGATCGGGGCCAGTGTAGACGCTCTTTTCCGGCTTTTTTAAAAGCCGGAAAAAAGCGGCGGACATTTTTATTTAAATGCCGCGGGGAATATTTAAATCCCCCGCGCATTTCCCTACTACGACTCATGAAATTTACATGCCCCTTCCGGAAAAGGGGCCAGTGTAGACGTAGCCTGGGAGAGCAGCTCCTGCTAAGCCTTACCACTCAGAAGACGCTGTGTAAGTACGCCGCATTTGCATAGCTTAAGTTGTATAAGTTAGACCAGTGATGGATGAGAGGGTAGGAAGGTTAGTGTAGACAAGACATGAATGATGAAATAGCATTCAGCTGAGCCCTCAAGGGTTAACATGTTGTTAATGCAGCTTCACACTCTAGAAGCAGCATGGACTGAGGCCAAAGAGAGGAAACACAACAGATGCACTGCATAGCAGTAGCTGCAAACGCTTCCCTGCTGAAAAGGAATATGGAATGGGGGTCTTGACAGGGGATATTCAACACCCTCTTGATTATCTTTGCTGACATTTCAGTCCTCTTTGCCTCAAGAATTGTATATGTAATAGGTTAGGGTAGATTAAAAAGACAAACAGATTAATTTCTTTTTCTAGAAGGGACTCTCCATTTAACTTTCATGTTTAATGCCACAGGAGACATTTCTTGTTTTCCTTCAACATGCTTTTGTCTACTGTGACGGTCAGATCTAGAAAAATTTATGACAGCTGGGACAAATATACTAAGAGAGGTCTTATTATTCCTGCAATAAACTTGGAAATCCATTTAAGGGCCACTTATTCTGCTAGTCCCATTGGAATAACATGGCAACATATTTCAAGTATGAATATTTTTTTAAAAAAGGAGAAAGGCTCAAAACTTATCACTAATACATGACAGATAAGTCATGGACCACAATAGGACCCTTGCCAACAGATGACTCTTGGACATTTGTGCATACAACTTAATTAAAACAAAGACATCAAAGAAACATCCAATGTACAGGTTTTTATACAGTAGTGGCACTTTAGTTTCTTTCCAATGGCGGGAGAAAAATACTTCTCACTCTCACATACACATGTGTACAACAAGCCTGCAGGTTTGTTTTTAACTATACTTACCCAAGATAAGAGCTGGGCAACAGGTCCTCTTATGTATTAAGCAGCACAATGAAGGTTAGGAAATCAGAACTTTGAAGAAGTGTGATTTAAAGTTAAGAAGAGTTTTTGATGCTGTGACACACTCCACTGTTTCACACTGATTTATAAAGTTCATTTGCTGATTGTTATAACTGGAGCTTGGAAGAGTTTGACTGCATAAAACAGGATTTCTTGACTGCTCAACATTCATCCCCATAGATACTGTGAGAAATAGGGTCTCTTGGAAAAGAGACGACTAAGGGACGATATGATAGAGGTCTATAAAATCATGACTAGTGAAAAAAGTGAATTAAGAAGAATTATTTACTCCTTTCCATAACACATGTACTAGGGGTCACCAAATGAAATGAACAGGCAGCAGCTCGGAGTGGCAGGGAGCTCCTCAGGAGTGGAGCCAGAGTCCATGGCTGCTGGCCCCACCCCCTGGAGACTACAGAATAGTCGAGTAACCTATAAGAATTCATGAGGTTAATTGACTATTCAATTAAGCAATATTTATCATCCCTATCCCGATGTCCAGTATTTACAGCAGGGGATTGAGTCATGACAGTTGGGTTACATTCCTGTCACTGCCATTCTATACACAATTTTGAGCAAATAATCTACACACCTCAATGGCTAAATGGAGATAGGTGAAGTCCTTTCTACTTTGGGCTCAACAAAACAAATGAGGTACTGTTTATCGAACATCCACTATATAGAAGACAGTTCTGCTTTGCCAGAGTCTTAAGTTGTCCAAAAAAAAAAAAAAAAAAAGAGTAATCATACAAGCGCCTTTCATAGAGGAGGTCAGTACTGCCTCCCCTTCCCACACAGCAAGCAGGAAACTCCTGGGAGAAGCTCCAAAGCAGAGGACAGAAGCAGAATGGCACTGAGAGGATACAGCTGAACTGTAGCTGCTCGGCTGTATACTTTACAGGGAATGTAAGGGAGCTGATGAGGAATGCCAGCCCATCCTATTTCTAAACCCCCACAAAGAGAAGTTGCTTTTCCAGAAAATCCTGCAAGTAGTGGATAAAGTAGGTAATCAAACAACATCATAAAGGAGCACTGCGCAACTTTAAACAATTTAAAGTATGTGCTCTCATAGATAAGTAATGGAACAATGACACAATGTTAATTGGGACAACACTAAAGTGAGGAGTTACTCTCTCAGGAATGAACTCAAACTTCTACTTACCTGTAACTGAAAGTTCTTCAAGATGTGTGGTCACTATCTATATTTCACTATGAGTTACACCTGGAGTTGAATAAGTTGCAAGTATGGTGGGTACATGTACCCTGATTCACTACTTCCACCCAAGGTGATAAAAGGTAGGGCAGACCAATCACATCTCCAGTTCCTTCTCCCTGTGACCATGACAGATCTGAAGTAGAGGGAAAAGGAGGATGGGCAGTGGAATACAGACAGGGACCACACATCTCAAAGATCCTCCAATTACAGGTGAGTAACCTCTTCTTGGAGTGATGATCACCATAGCATTCTACTGTGGGGGACTGACAAGCAGTACTTAAGTAGGAGGGTGAAAGGACGAAGACAGAAAGGCTGTGTGGAGAACTGATGTGACAAAGGCGGCATCTGCCACTGGGTCCCACACCAGGGTGGAGTGTATTGCAAATGTGTGAATGACACGACACATGACTGTTCTACATATGTCTAGAAGAGAAGATGTGGGCATTGCTTGAATGCTAGAGGAGAGAACCCATGTTTTGGAGGGGGGGGAGAGTTAGGTTTGACAGTTTGTAGGAGAGTTTAATGCAGCTGGATATCCATTTGGAGATTGGATGGCAGTAGTATATCCCCGATTCTCCCCGCCACTGCAATAAACAGTCTTGGGGACTTCCTGACTTTTTCTGTTTTCTGCAGGTAAAAGGCCAAGGCTCATTGAACATCAAGGAAATAGAGTCTACATTTTTCTGTAAACATGTGCAGTTGCAGGAAGAAAACAGGTGAGTGAACTGATTGGTCACGATGAAAATGCAAGACTACCTTTGGTAAAAATGTTGGGTGTATGCATAAGGAAATCTTATCCTTCTGAAACTCTATAAATTGTGGGTCTGCCATCATAGCTCTGAGTTCACCAACCCATCTAATTGAAGTGATGGCTACAAGGATGGGAGGACAAGGAACAGGCTTGAAGGAGATTTTGTCAATTCCAAGTTACCAGATCACAGTAGGGTTGTGATGTTTTGGAGAGGTGGGAAGGTTCTTAAGAGGTCTGTCCAAAATCTAGTTGTTAGCTGGTATGAAAAAATGGATTAACCCTCCATAAGAGGATGGAACATGCTAATTGCTGCAAGGTGGACCAGCAAGGAGCTAAGGCAAGACCCAATCTTCAAAGACAGAATGTAGGGATACAGGAAATCTCTGCAGCTTTTGGCACTGCA